TGTGAATGGTTGGTTTAATATATGGACCATTAAGATGGACTATGGCACATAGACCCAAGTTGTGTGATATGAGTTATAGTCTTCATTAATGCTATTTGACATGATAAGTGATGTGGATCACTTATATATTGTAGGGATTGTTAGTGGAATTTGTTCGGAAGTTAAGGAACAAACCAAGTTCTATTTTGTATAAAAGGAACCCTTTTTGTATCAAAGGGTTGAGGTAACAAGAGAAATTTATATTTCTTATTACTCTGTTTTAGCTATTTTTGAATAAATATTACTAGCCATCATGCATTACATGTTTTAAAAGATTAAATGTGCTTTATAAGGGGTTATGGGGTACTAATTTAATTATAGTGCAAATATATTTTCTAATTATTTAACAATAATGTTTTTATGGAAACGAGATTTGTTTACATGTATTTTAATCATAAGGAATAGAAGTTACACTTAAGGAAGTGTAACTAAGGTACCTTAAATAGGCTAAGGAACCGTTTAAGGGAGATTTATAAATGTTATACTACCTTAGAGTGTTAAAATGGTCAATACTCGGGAAAGGTAGACACGAATAAAAGGTATGATCTCGGTGGGAGTTCACCAATGAGAAGGTGTGTACTTTTGATATTCTATGGCACACTGCCAGTACTCAGTGTTGCCTTACGTATTATAGGCTCAGTGCACTAAAGTGGTTAGTGTATTGAGTGTTCGACACTTCTCAATGGGGGAGGGAATCCGACATATGAAGTGTGAGGTTGAGTGCCTAGGCCAAGGTAGCCCTCACATGGAGAGTAAGTCAGGCTGGCTCTGGGAGGCAGTTAGCTTTGACTGTTCAAAATTCACATCGAAGGGGCATAGGCGGTTCGGTGGATTAGATCATGTCTTAGATTTTGTTTTGTGCCTGTGGAGGTACAAGTAGGTATAATATTTACCTGTAAGTTAAAGAGTGCCAGGGGCATTCTGTTGGTCATGAAAGGCCATACCGGCCTATGTCATGCATTTATACATTTTAAATGGCTAAATTATATACTATGTTGAATTTATTATTTGATTATGGCTTACTTTGTAATAATCAATGTAGATTTCTCTATTACTGAGACTGTGGTTGTCTCACCCCTTTCTTTTCAATATTTTCAGGTCTAAGCGAAGGACGGGGAAAGGAGCAAAGCTAGGGATTTGCTTGTGATTTGTAAAGAACTGCAACCCCTTTTTTTTGAACAAATATATTGTAATGTATTTAGGATTAGGGTGCCAGTAGGATATGATTATGTATGTGTGTGTGAATATGTGTGGATTGTGTGCTTGTGTATGAATTTTTATCTGTTTATAGACTTGTGGCTAAGAAACTTAGTTATGATGTGTGGTTTTGATGGATTTACTTAGTAGACCAAATTTTTATTACAAGCAGATATTTATTTTGATATATGTGTGTGTGTGTGTGTGTGTGTGATTCTATAAGCAAATGTAAAGTGATTACATTGCAAATGGTGTGCTATAGGCAAGCATCACCTTGGATAGAGAGAGTGGGTGCATGGGTCCCACAAGGAGCTCTGAGCCAAGTGAAAATGTTTAGCATATGTATTTATATAAATACATGATATTTGGATTGATTTGTGACCACTCTTGTATGATTTGTGCATTTTGGGGGTTTAGGATCCATTTTGAGAAATGGCACCTGGGTGGTCAAATTTTGATGTATGGGGGTTTTTCATCATTTGAATGTTCTATCAGGTGTTTTTAGTCTTATTTGACGTGTCCAAAGTGTTCCCACAGGTTTGTGACCATTAGGATGGGATTTGGACAATTTTAAAAATGGTTTTTACCAAAAAGCTGCACTTTTGCATCCGGGTGTCCAAATCTTAATCCGATCATTGGATTTCTCTAAAATTTGGGTCACAAGTAAAACCTTTTATAAGCTTTGTGTGGGATTTAGAATCATATCGATCGGATATCGGATGGAGAAACGGCGTACTCTGGAATTTGGTCTGGAGGTACTATCATGACAGCTATATTAGTGATATTGTAACCTGTATAAAATTCAATCCGTCCGTTGGATATTTTCAAAATTTGGTATGCTAATAGTATTCTTTAAAAGTGACATGTGTGCTTTAGAATCACTCCAATCGGAGATTAGATGATGAAATGGTGTACTCCGAAAGTTGGTCCGAAAGTGCTGTCGTGATAGCTTTTTAGTTGTCATGACAGCAAAAGTGACTAAATTTATAACATATTCAATTTTTAATCCAACCATTGGATCTTTTTGAAATTTAGTAAACTTATAGTACCCTTTGAATGTGACGTGTGAGCTTTAAAATTTTTTCGATCGGAGATCGGAAGACAGAACGGTGCCTCCCTGAAGTTGACTCGGGAGGGCTGTCATGACAGCAATTTAACAGCATATTTTTACCTTTCTTTTGTCTAACTTGCTTCTGTGTGCTATAGGTAGAACCTATAAAATTTTTTAAAGGCTTTAAATGTTTAATTTACAATTGTGTGTTTGCTTAGTGATTTAAATGGTTTGTTTTCTAAGTTGGTTTTAAGATTAATTCCTTAACCATACTTAGTTTATTTGAATTGTGTGATTTTTGGATAACACTCGGGGCAAGTGTTACAAATTTGATATCTTAGATTCATTTAATGAGTTCATGGTGTTTTCATTCCACGAAAAAATTTAAACATAGAACCTTTAGGTAAATATATGTCTGTATCTTTTTATCCTAATTTGTTATTATTTGATAGCTAGAATTAGAAGATATTAAGATAAAAATGTTTAATCTCGGAGAGAAACTTATGTGCCCAAGACATGTTAGGTCTCGGAGAGAAACTTTTGTGCCAAAGACAATGTCTATCCTATCGTACTTTTGGCCTCATGTTGTCTTTGCAAATTTTGTTTGTTCAATTTTCCTCTATACTCTACTATGTGTCTTCTTAATTGCTTTCATATGCATTGATTCAGCTTGTATAAGAGATTTGCTCAGCTCGAACTTCATTACATTACTTATGGAGTTTCAGCTCGAGGGGTTTCATCCCATGATTCATTTCATCGCAGTCTTCTCCAGCATCATTCTAAGTAATTTTACTTTGTATGTTTTGCTGGTCCTTTAAGAGTCCAAGTTAGCGCATGACGTAAGCTTTTTTTTTAATTCCTGTTTATTAAAAAAAACTACACTAGCATTGGTTTGACACATATGTACAAAATTAATAATATTAGTTGATATGTCAGCATTATTAATATTATTTGTATCACATAAATGTCTCTTTAAAAATGTAAGAAACAATGCTGTAGATGGAGTGAAGCATAGAGACTTAAAACACGAAGAAAAATGCAGGGGCCCTCTATCAAAAATTAAGCAAAGTATATTAATTAAAAGTTGTGCTTTCTCTAAATTTTTTTTATGTATTGATAGAACAATAATTATCCTCAGAGTAATATTATATAATTAAAATTTTAACACGTTCAAGGGATGCTGGAGTAGCTCAGTTGGTTAGAGCGTGTGGCTGTTAACCACAAGGTCGAAGGTTCAAGCCCTTCCTCTAGCGTTTTTAACCTCAAAACAGTTTCCTTTTTCCTTCCTTCAATCTACCTCTGAAGGTTTTAGCAGTGGTGATATCAATATTTGTTACATCACCAATCCAACCAGCATTAAAGGAAAAAAAAAAAAAAAAGGTCATGCAATGCATAAGCAGATAATATAAAGTGAGTATGTGAAGTATTTTTATTTCATCAAGTCATCACCTGAAATTAAACAGTGCGGAGTCAGATGACAAAAAAATTGATAAAATTCTTTAAAGTGCATGTCATTAATCTTGTTGGCTCAAGTCTGTTGAAATGGGTATGTATGTAATAGATCTCATTATCTGAAACAATACTACAGGCAATTAGTCGGAGGGAGTTATTAAGAAAAGTTTAATTTTTTATGGAAGAGGTTACATTGCTTTGTTTCTGGATATGTGTACATATTTTGTTCACAAATGGTAATTCTAGAAGGGAAATTAATCATTTAATTCATTTTGATTTAGTTTAACTCAATCTCTAAATTTTAACTTAGTGCAACTCATTAATCTTTGTAGTTTTAATCTGATTGGAATTCAATTCATAAACTCTAAGTTGGTATATCTTACTCCCTGTAGTTTCATATGGGAAATTAGCACTTCTACCATTTCCGCAGTTGCCGGATTCAGCGCTAAACTCTTTTGAAGCAACAGTACAGATTCCAATTACTCAAGTTTGCCAAACACCGCATCATTTTCATCAACTGTACTTTATTTGATCATCACAATACCCATTTCAAGAGCTCATACTCATGCATATTGAAGAATCTACCATTCCAGTTAATTCTACACGCAGTATCAGTATCTTCCAACATTTTGCAGCCTAAGCTCAAATCTGGCAAAGAGATAAATCCCACAGAGAAATAAGCATGCATATGGATATGGGTCCTCAAACTTGATATTTTTAACCCATCAATGCTTTATCTTGTCTTTGCATTTCTTGGCCTCTTTTCTTCGGAAGATCAATCATTCTCACTTGATGGGCCACACATACACCTTTCGGCTATAATGAACAAACGCAATTTGCATGAGCATCTCCATCAGAAGCAAAGTGGTGTCACCTTTATATTCACTAATTCAACAGAAATGATCTTGCTTTGTTGGATTCCCAAATTTTCAACCTTCAGAGTCTTATTTTCCACCTTTAAAGCATTATCTCTCAATCTTCTCAATCCATTTGTCAGTTTGCGATGATTTGAAAATTTACAGAGTCTCTACTTTTTACTCAACATGGCAAAACCATGACTAGCTACTATAACTTGTCCATTGCTCTTGTAACAACATGGCAAATGAAGATGTCTAGCTAGTTATTAGGCTTTTTCTTTCTTTTTTTTTCCTGGGATTTTCAATTATTGATGCGATAATCACTTGCATACATAATTTTCCACCTTATTCCTCCAAGCACAAAAGTTGAAAGAAGATACTGCAGAAAAAGAAAGCCATAGAGATCAAAAAACACTACTTCACATACGCCAACCTACTGAATCTTACAGATCATGATGATAAATTAACCCCAGAAAGGCTTTACAACAGAAACAAAGATGTCAAAGAAGGAAAAAGCAAGCAACTCATGCCTCATGCTTCTTCCTCCTTTTATTACAGAGAAAACAAACAGGAATGTGTATCGATCAGAATCAGAATATCAGAATCAGAACTCATTAGCCAAAGGTGCATGTTCAGAGTGCATGAAAACATTGGGATAGACAAGGCCAGCCAAGCCACCACCAATGAGAGGTCCAACCCAGTAGATCCAGTTGTCACGGAAATCACCACTAGCTACGGCAGGGCCAAAGGACCGAGCAGGGTTCATCGACCCGCCGGAGAAGGGGCCGGCCGCCAGGATGTTGGCTCCAACAATAAAGCCAATGGCAATGGGAGCAATGGTCCCAAGAGAACCCTTCTTGGGATCAGCAGCTGTAGCATACACAGTGTAGACCAAAGCAAAAGTGATGATAATCTCCATAATCACTCCTTCTATTGCTCCGACTCCGGCAGCCAAACTGTGTGTCGGAGTTGTCTGACAAAAAAAAAATCACCAAAACACAGTTTGGTTCAGTTTTATTAACATAAACCAAATAACTTTTTAAGAAGCATAAAGATGAAGATATATACACACACATACCAAGCCTCCGGTGACAAACTTGAGGAGGAAGCAAGCGACGATGGCGCCAACAAGCTGAGCAATCCAGTAGAAGATACCAGTGAGGATTGTGATCTGACCTCCAAGAGCTAAACCAAAGGTCACTGCTGGGTTCACATGGCCTCCAGATATGTTGGCTCCAACTGAGACTGCAACAAACAAAGCAAATCCATGGCAGATTGCTACTGCTACTAACCCTGGAGGATCCAGTGCTGCATCGCTTGTCAACTTCCCTGCATTACGCACAAAACAAACAATCACTTGTCAGAACCTATAATAAGAACCACTTAAACATAGTCACATGTATCTGCAGATGCATCAGTTTTTTGTCTTTTAAATATCTGCATGGACACAAACATGAAGGAACTAACCATAGGCCATGGCAGAACCAACGCCAGCGAAAACAAAGAGGAGGGTTGAGATGAACTCAGCAAGGTAGGCTTTAATGGATCCCAGACTGAAAGAATCATCGAAGCGTCCGAAAGCTATGCCTGCCATATCTTCAGAATGTTTCTAGAGGATTCCTTCTTCAAGGTGGAGAGAGATAGAGTGAGAGAGAAGATAATAGGGAAGTGTTGAGAGTCAAGAAGAATATGGAATGAAGGGCTTCTCTGATATGATACATGTATATATACTCACTAGAACTTGCCAAGTTTAGTTTTGAGGCTTATTAAATAAGTTCCCTTTCTCATGAGCTCTAGAGTTGCATTATTACTGTACTGTTACGTATGTCTTTTATTTATTTTTTATTATTATTATCATGAACAAGTGATTTGTTTAAAATTTCTTTTGGGCGTACTTTCATCCAGGCGCGTTCAAGATTTTAGATATTACTTGTAAATATTTTTTAAAAATTAAACAAGGATTATTAATTAATCAATCAATCAATATAGATATATATATATATATATATATATCCCAATGGATTGAGGTAATTGTATATTGCAAGTGTGTTTTGACGTTTGAAGTACAAAAACAGAATAAGAAAAATTAAATTTAAAAAATTGCAAATAATATCATTAAAATGATAACCAAAATAGATCCTTAAATTACATAAAGCTTTGAAATAAGTTACACTATTTATGACATTTGATTATATTAGTTCTGACAACTTTTATAAATATTTTAATAATTATTTAAAAACATAAAATTATTTTTAGTTATGTATCTTTTTTAAAAAAATAAAAAAGTCAGTATTAAATTTTTATTTAAATAGATAATACAACTTTTAATCTCTCATGTTTGTATCAATTATTATTTTGGTCCCTTAAATTTAATTTTATTAATTTAGTCCCTTAAATTTATTTTGATTATCAATTTAATCCTTATTATTTAAAAACAAGATTACACTGTTAAAATTTTTCTAACTTGAATGATAAAATATTGATAGCAGTCATGTAAATTAGTGAAAATGCATATAATTATTTAGATATAAAAAAATAGACTCTGAAGTTTTTTAAAAAAAACACATTATAAAATATTATATTAATAAAAATTAAAGTCATTTGGTGGTTAATTTATTTTGTATAGCTACATATACATTTTAAATCATCAATATGCTTTATCTATTATATCATTTTGAAAGTCAATATGTGTTTTAAAACTTAAAAAACTTACATAATATTTTAAAAAAGTATAAAAAATCAAATTAATAAAAATTAAATTGACAGGGTAGATAAACTTGAGGGATTAAAATTTTTATTATCCTTTATTTAAAAAACAATGTATTATCGTTCATCCTTCACCTTCCAATTTGAGATTAACTTTTAAACTTTGAGAGTACCTATAAATTTATAGAATTTCCTGAGAACATAAATGAATGAAGTTTGAATTGTTGCATATAAATTGAATTGTTGCACGAGAATATGGTTAGTGAGTGTGGAAGAAAGAAATCCATGGGCGTCCAATGAGGACAAGCTTAGCTGGCAGTAACGTGATTTAATAGAAATGTCGAGAGGCACATGAATGATTCCTCCATGTGAGCAGGAGAGAGAAAGGCGGTGTTTGGTGGGACAGAAAATGAATCAAAATCATCATCAAACCCAAAACCAGTGGTGGGTGCAACGCATCAATTGCTATTATGGGCCACACAGAGCACCGCCCATGCCCCTCCAAAATGGCTAACAAGGTTGAAGGACTTGGAAAATGAGCGGACACAAATTCATGTCAATGAATTATTCAATTAAATGATAAAGTTTCCGACGTTGATTTTAGTGGAAGTGATTATATGACTGCTTAAATACAAAACTTCAATTTCAAATCAATGTGAATACCCAAAAAAAAATATCCTTTATCTTTAGTTAAATCCGACAATACTTAAATTTGACCCTTTTAAATAATCATATCAAAAATTAAATTGATAGGACTCATGAGTTTGGCTTATTAATTAATGATTTTATTTGGAGCTGATATATACACCGTCAAAGAGGAGAATCTTGTGGAATTTTCTAGCTCCTTTGCTTGGTTAATGCACAAACTTCCCCTGAAAGGTTGCTTAATCATGATTATGTTATCATTATTTTAAATACTAGATAAAGTCTTATATTGTATTCATTAATAAGATATAGTATATGAAATGTTTTTGGTTGTCCAAGAACAAAAGTAAAAGGGACTTTATTTTTGGGTCATAAAAGAGGCTTTAGGATATCCCCATGTGATTCTTGCGTCCTCTGGCCTAGTCCAAAAGTTGACACCAAATTAATTAAACGGATAGTGAATGGTCCTCCATCAACAATGCTTTTGGAGTTTTTCTGTTTGTTTATCTGTTTCTTTATTTGTTTATTTATTTATTTATTCAGTGAGGTGGGTCAGGAACTCTTGCATAGTGTTTGATTTAACAAAAGCAAGGAAAGCTTGAGGATTTTACCAAGAGAATGGGAAGAAATCAATTTTATAGAATATAAATCATACTCTTGCCATTTGGATAAAGTTTTATTGTTGATTTGGAGTTCTATTCTAAACATTGGTTGAGGTTGTCTCCATGTCAAATGGTCATGTTCTGTGAGAGAACTTCTCTCTGGATGCACACAGAACAAGAGTATGCATATGGTGAGGACAAAAATAGAAGTTTAGAAGAGAATATCGATCCCCTAAACACACTTTACATTGCTAATATCTAAATTCTTATTTTTAATTTTAAAAAAATTATTTTCTTATCTGATGATAAGGCTCAAAAAATACTTATAAGATATTTTTAAATTACTTATTAACAAGATTCTTATGTCTTGGCAAGAATTTGAATCATGTTTTCATAAATAAAATAAAAAAGTCATGTCCTTCTCATCTTGCAAACTTTCACTGTGCCTTTTTATATATACAAAAAATGTCCCCTTATTTATTTATTTTTTTTAAAAGTCTGAGTTCGCCAGCTTGGCATCTCGTGTTATAAGATGAAACACTCCTTTAAATTTAATGTCTGAAATAAACATAAATGAAATGAAAAGAGAATAAAAAACTATTTTGAAGATAAAAATTAATCATGATGAGTGTGTCTGTGTAAAGACAAATAAATAACAATTAAAATATGATAAACATTGCAAAGAAATCATTCTTTTCTCCAACAAATGGGCTCAAGTATACTCTCTTCCAAAATTATGCATAGCTTAAATTCAAGAAGAAAATTGAACCACACATGATGATAATCACATACGGTCTTCTATCATGAGATTGGAAATTTCATACCCCAAGAACTACTTAGATATGTTCTAGTAATGAAACGTGTGAATAATTATTACTACAACATTTATTAATAAAACACAATAATTAATATGGGTGTTTTAGCTTTTACGTATAAATGATGGGATATGAAGTGAAAAATACAACATTACTACATTAACAACAATATCTGTGGGAAACATATATATGGCATAACAATCAAATCAAGAGAAGTCTCTTTGGATGCCTTTTGGGAGTGGCATTGATAGTAATTATGGATCCTAATGGCAGACAACCGAACGTCGAAGAAAGTGGCCAACAAAATCACAGCCAAGATTGCTTCCTGTGATCAATGGCTTCCCCGGGTTGAGTTTCATTCCAATTTGCAGCAAACTTAACCGGATCAGATTAAAAAGGAAAATGGAATGAAAAACAGTCTTGAAAATAATAATAATAATAATAATAATAATAATAATAATAAATGTTCATATTCTTAATTTTCTTTGACAAAAAAGTAATAGGAAACATAAAAACTATCAGACAAAATGAAAATGTCAACTTTATGGGGCCATAGGACCGGATTGGGATAGTCCTCTTTAGGTTGAACAGGCTGGTACATCACCTATGACACGTATTTATAACTTTATTTCTCATCAGATGAACAGCATAAAACAATAATGAGGATACGTAACTGGAAAAAGAAGAAAAATAGATTTCATTGAGGGATTTCCACGTATCACAGTTACTAAACTGATACAGGAATCATTAATACCCTAGCATTAATTACGAATAATTTTTGCTCATATACGAACAGGAGGAAGTATAAGTCTACAAGAAAGCCATTTCAGGTAACACATTTGAAACTAAGAAGTTAGACACCAAGGTTGACAGATCTTTTTATTCCCACAGAAAATAAAGCTGACTGAGCATATCGTCAATGCATTAATCATTCTACTTCTACCTCCATATTTTCAGGAAAGGGTATTGAAGCACAGCAGTGATAGTATCCATTTTCATCAAAGGAAAATCTCTGGGAGAGATGAACTTCTCGAATAGGATACTCTCCCCAATCCTCTGATCCGTACTGCTCGAATATGCCCCGTGCATCGAAGGAGTCAAACTTTCCTTTCCTCTTCATCCTGAACACCGGCAGCTTATGTCAGCTAAGGGCTATTTAAGCTAAAAATATCTTAAGGAATTCCAAAATTATACCTTTTCCTATGCCTTGCATTCATCACAGTTGCATGCAACTGCAAATCAAGAAGAGAATACCTTGATGATTGCAAAATATAAACCAAAACCACAAACAAAATGCATGGAAGAGGGAGACTGATTATGATTGCCAGAGATCCTACCCAAGCATCAAGACATATATTTTGCATCTCTGCTTTTTCATAAGCACCATTCATGTTTTTGTTTTTCTTCTATCACAATCAGCTCAGAATGTATATATCATTCTGTACATATCTTGCTTAGTTAACAGTTAACATCCAAAGGAGGAAATTCTCAAGACGTGTGCATATGACATCACGTCAAAATCTGGGTTTAAACTGTTTGCGTGTATATTACAAGACAACCGGGTATTCTACTACATAGCATTAATACCAAAGGGAAAATAAATGGGAAAATTACATTTAGGTCTCACAGAATGAAGTTTATTACTGAGATGTCGCATGAGTTTCATAAAATACTCCCAAATTCTAAATTCATGATGTCAATGTGCAGTTGCCCAGTTGCCCATGAATTTTTTTTAAATGGCCATTGCCCAATTGTTAATGCCCTTAGTTAAGTTGTCAATGCATAAAATTTAAAACTTGGAAGTATTTTGTAAAATTCATGGGACCTCTCAACAATAAACTTCATTCTGTGAGACTTGAATATAATTTTCCCGAGATAAAACTGTCACACCAAAACTAGCTCAATCAGATGTATATTATGTCAATATTTGATCTACCCTTGATCCAAAAGAAACAAAGTAAGTATGATAATTGTCTAAATTTAACGTACCTTCAGTTTCTGATTAAAATCATTCTCCAAGACTAGTCCAGCTTCAACATATGCATCAATAATGATTTCTAGAGAAGCTCAGAAAACTCGCATGACTTTGTAAGACAAATATATGATCTAAACCAGACAGAATTAACATCATTTTTCACGGGTTTAGAGAATAAGAGCATGTTTGATTTCATGTTGAAAACCACTGATACCATGGAGAGATTCTTTATAAGCCCTTTTCTTTTTCTTACTTCAATAAAGATTTTATTAACCTTCTGTTCTCGTACTTTACTGTCTTTCTTTCTTTCTTTTTTAACCTTGTTTATTTTCTTGCTCTTTACTTTTTGTTCATCATCTAAATTGTGCAGACTACCGCTGTCCTAGAACCATTTTAACTTTTTTGACTTCTTGTTTTTTACTTTCTGCATTATTATCTAGTTGCATTCGTTAACTATCTGCATACTTCAGTCATATAAAGAGCAAAACCATAGTTTTAGTGCTTTGGGACATAAACCATACATGCACTAACAAAACCAATTTCTCTAGTACAATTTAAATATGGATACGACAAGCAAGTAGAAGACGGCCCTCACTGCCAACCTCTTCCACTGGGGCATACAGAACACGAGCTTTTGCTTGAGAACCTTTCATGCAATCCTGCAGGATTACATACATTATTTCCTCAATAAAAATATCTCATAAACTTCCTACCAAAAAAAATAAAAATTCCACAAACTGCATAGAAGTTTAATCTGATAATAAGAAGAAAAACAGTCTCCATCTTACGTACACAAAGCCATAACAAATCTTTTAATGAAAGACTGCTTTGAGAATGAAAATTATAAGATCCTATGGTTAAATATTAAAAAAAAATTCCTATAATGAAATGCTGAATTATAGGAACGATTAATCTATAAGCCAGCAAAGGGTAAACTTGCAAATTCTATGTATATCAGTAAGAAGAAATCTGCAGATATAAAACCTTTAACTTGTGCAGTTATTGCAATCTACAAACTAAGTAAAAAGTACAAATATTAGACATTGTCAAGGCACGGTATCCAATCAATAAATACTCAGCATTTATAAATTTATATGATGATTGCATCAGCCAAATGGAGATCAAGATGGACTCCTACCAATCCTTTTAATTTTACAGAGAGGGGCCGATTGTCAAGGGCTTCCCTAACTCTTGAGGAGATATTCTGCATAGTGACAAAGGTAATTACAGGCAAAGAATTTACTAGAAAAAAATCATATTTTGTAGAGATTATAATAAAACACTATATGCATAAGCCTTCACTCAACAGGTTAAGCTTTTAAGTACAATGAGCTTTCACTTACCTGTAAGACCTCAGTAGCTTTCTTAACTCGATCCTTGTTCCACAATTTCAGCATGAGTACAGTAAGATGAAACGTTCTAGGCTTAATGAATATAGACTTGTCAATCCCCAGGTCTAAAAGGTGCAACATAAATCAGCATATAAGGAAAAAAAAAAATAATGAACAGAAGAATGTAATTAACTTGAAGCTTCTAACAAATCCTCGTTGAGTTTCAAAATTAGGCATGGAAGTAACTGATTACAGTTAACATAGGCATGCCTTGGGAATATAACTTTAACAACAATACAAGGTTAGCTAAAAAATCTCAAGCATAACATAACATAATATAGCTTATTTTTATACCAGATAAATCAGGAGACTTGGATGCAGAAGATTTGGACGCTTTAGGTACATAACTGACAAATGGTATGTTTGTGAGATTCACTTCAACTGATTCATTGCTGTCACTGACTTTAAGTTCAACTGCAACATTAGGTTTTTCCTTTGACAAACCATGCTGTTCTTCATTGTCAGTATTTTCTTCATTGGAATCAGATTCAAGATTCTCATCCATGCAAGAATCACCAGTTCCCAATATAGAATTTTGAAAACTGACAAGTTTATTAACTAACTCAGGATGGATGGCCAATGGTAGTGATATGAAGTGTGAATAATCAAGATTTCGACTCTTAACTGCCTGTTATCAAGGAAAGATACAAGTGTTGGCATGATACAGTAACTACAGTAGTCTTCATTATCACTGACATAATACACTTTTAATAAACAAACGGGAAAGAGGAAGTAAATTCAAGTCTAATCTTTTAAAGGGAAGCATGGACAGGCAACTGACCTCATCAATTATGGCTTGTATCCTCTTGGAAGCTAGAGTCACACTATCAATCGAAATGCCTTCAATGGCTGCAAAAGACAATCATACAAAATCCTTTAGATGTAGGGCCATGATACCCACTCTTTCTTGATTCATGATGACGTCCAGTGATTAGGTCAAATTTGGCTTTAGGGTATATAGAGTTCAATAGAGTCTAGTCCAGCTTGAAGCAGAAGCCCAGAAAATCAGAATGATTCTTATATTCTTTTGAATGTAGGCAAAAACTATTTCTTATGTTAAGCCAACATTCAGTTTTCCAAACATCTCAAAGCATAACAAAAGTCGGGGTCAAACAACGGCATTATAGAGAATATTTATTTCTTCTGAGTCTAAATGCTGGTTCCAAGAGAATTATTTCAAAGCTGACGATGAAAAGACATACAGTGTGTATGGGCAAATCCAAAGACTTACTGACAAAATCATCTTCTTTTGAAGATGGTAATATTATCTTAACCCCCATCTCCTCCTCAATATTTTTCTGCGTGGATCCCCTGAAACAATATCAACCATCATTTACATATAATATGCACAACTTTCCACCCCGTCCCTCTGATAACATCAATAACAACAGGATTTGTATCCCTTATAATGTTTGTTACATGAATCCCAACTCAAACTGTTTAGAATCCTTTACCTATATTACAATTTTCTTTTCCAGTCTATCTTTAAATCTTATCAGAGCCTACACCTCTACAAAGTATATATACACAAACTTCCACCCAAGTGATCATCAGCATCCATTTCATCTTCTTAAATTAGTTATCAATGCCAAGTAAAAAATTAAATCTAGTTTTTACCCTTTGCCTTTGATAAAACGAAATAGAGAAGCACCAACCTGCACATCAAACATAATAAAGTTGAAACAGAATGAAAAGGCTGCAGTAATTGACTAGCTAACGCATAATAGGAAAAAGAATAACAAAAAAGTACAGATTAAGTGGCTGAACCAGAGATCAGAAATATGGTGGCAGATAGTGTAACAAACTTTCCACAAAAGCAACAAGTAATATCATTTCTCTCACTTATATATTTGTACAACAACAACAACAACAAGCCTTTATCCCACTAGGTGGGGTCGGCTACATGGATTGTAAGACGCCATTGTGCTCTATCATTTATCAAGCTTTTAGGAATATTATTAATTAAGAGATCACGTTCAACAACTTCCAAGAGTGTTCTCTTAGGCCTTCCTCTACCTCTCTTAATCGGACTCAAAGTTATATGTTCCACTCTTCTCACTGGTGCCTCCCTTGGTCTTCTTTGTATATGCCCAAACCATCTCAACCGATTTTCTACCATTTTTTCCTCAATAGGTGCCACCCTCACTTTTTCGCGTATGTGCTCATTTCGAATTTTATCTTTACGTGTATGTCCGCACATCCATCGTAACATTCTCATCTCTGCTACTCCAACTTTATGCTCTTGTTGTCTCGTTAGAGCCCAGCATTCACTACTATATAACATTGCCGGTCTGATAGCAGTGCGATAAACTTTCCTTTAAGTTTATTAGGCACCTTATGGTCACAAATAACTCCTTTAGCTTTTCTCCAATTAAACCACCCAGCTTGAATTCTATGTGAAATATCTCCACTGATTTCGCCATCATTTTGAATAATGGCTCCCAAATATCTAAACTTTTCCACTTGAGGTATAATTTGATGTCCTAATTTCACTTCCAAATTATTTTCGAATAGTCCTTTACCAAATTTACAATATAAATATTCCGTCTTACTTCTACTCAGACGAAAATCTTTCGACTCCAATGTCCTCCTCCATAACTCAAGTTTGCAATTAACCTCTTCTCTTGTCTCTACTATAAAAACTATATCATCCGCGAAGAGCATACATTTCGGGATTTCTCTTGAATATGTTCCGTCAAAACATTTAAAATCAAGTTGAACAAATAAGGACTCAGAGATGATCCCTGATGTAGTCCAATCTTTATAGGAAAATCCTTTGTTTGACCACTAGGCGTTCTCATACTAATTTTTACCCCCTCATACATATCTTGTATGGCTTTAATATAAGCAATCCGTACTCCTTTTTTTTCCAACGCTTTCCAAAGCACTTCTCTTAGTATACGGTCATAAGCTTTTTCCAAATTAATAAAAACCATGTGTAGATCTTTATCTTTACAACGATACTTTTTCATTAATCCCCTTAGTAGATAAATCGCCTCTGTAGTTGATCTACCTGGCATAAAACCAACTTGATTCTCAGAAATACTTGTCTCCAATCTCAACCTGTGCTCAATTACTTTCTCCCACAATTTCATTGTGTGGCTCATGAGTTTAATCCCTCTATAGTTAGTACAATTCTGAATATCTTCTTTATTTTATAAATAGGAATTAATGTACTTCTCCTCCACTCATCAGGCATTTTCTTGGACCGTAAAATCACATTAAATAACTTAGTTAACCATCTCATCCCTTCTTCACTTATATATTTGTAAATAAAAAAAAATAAAAATACCAGAAATAACTCAAGGTATAAACTGTTATTATAAAAGGGGGGAAAAGATAAAAGAAAAATATAAGAAAAGAAAAGAAACCAAAAGGAAAGGAAAGGAAAAAAAGCACACAATATAACACCAGCATTGCCTTTAAGTTTTTACACCCAGTTAAAATAAATAAATAAACTTTACCGCCACAGTAATATCATATATAGATTGAAACAACCTGTTCAGCAACCGGGTATCACAAAAGGACAAATGCTACAGCAACATATAAGAGGTAAGATGAATAAATACCAGTTCACGTCTGCATAAAGTACAAGACCACCAAAGATGAGAACAACAAAAACTGAACAGAAAAATTATAGGCTTGCCTCAACAGAAATGGTGTGCTTTTTGGTGGAAACAGATAAGCTTTCATCTAGCACTTTGTTTTCAATATTGTACTGCAATGAACTAGATGTGATAGCTGATTCAGTTAATTCAGCCATAGTTTCAGCAGCTGCCTCCATAACACGGTCATTTGTAATAGTGCTAGATTCACTACAGCCCACTGTATGAACATCTCCTCTGTCTTCTGACCCAACCATTACATCCTTTACCGAGCTTTCTGTAAAAACAAACAGTATTAGTTCAGATAACCACTTCCCCCTATTGCCCTTAAGAAGGGGCATAAAGTATTCACATTTATAATAGAGAGATACTATAGAACTTCATGTGCTTATCAATTATTAATTATAGGAAATATATAAAATTCAAAATTCTTCACAAACTTGAACCTGGAAAAACATTATCATAATCTTAATATCAGGCAGAAGTAATGAGGACATCTGTTCTATCACACTGCAAATAATGTTATGTAATATGGATGTGTGTTTGTAATTTTTGGAGTTAAGTGATTGTTAGCCAGTAGTAGGCCAACCGCCATGGCTATACAAGTGAGGGAAGGAGGTGTTCTGTATTCAGGTTGATGGTTAATAATGGAAATTTTTCTTTTCCCCTCCTATTTCCTCTCTCATCCCCACTTCTTTCTTCTTTATATCAGAATATTGCCCTTAGCTTATGATAAGGTAAACAAATAATAGATTTCAGGAGACAACTGAAAGTTTCATATTGTTCCACAACGGGGAGAAAACAAACCTTCATAAGAACTGGAGCAAGAGACTGGTCTCCACACAAGATTTGTACTTTTATGTTTCTTGCCATGACCTTCAATCACCAGTCTCTTCTTTCTAGCTTGCATAGTTGAATTATGGTTTAAGCAATGATAACTTCTCTGATCCTTATAAAAAAATAATAACAAATTTAAGCTTATAGCAAGCTTGAATCCTTCTAAATAGCTTATAACAGTCAACATGTAATGTGCTTAGTTTGTGAACTGCATTATTTCAATGCGCATATGGGCAGAATCTGTACTTCAGTATTTTCAAATAAAAGCAACGGTGCTACCTCAAACTCATTCCTCAAATCTCAACTAGTAAGGTTAATATTAACACTTCATACAAAAAACGGAAGCGATGAAGAACCTTATTGCAAAGGATTAATAATTATAAGTGAACAACGTCCGCAGTGTAACACAATAGTTAAAGCTTTGAACCTGAAAGCATCCTACAGGTTTCGGTGCAATATATGTAGTAGTGAATTTTAAAACTCGATCAACTCTGCAAAAAAGGCCGAGTAAAATCACGTCACTACTACCACCCCATGAGGGGGAAGTGGTAAATTCACTATAGTTCTTCAAAGAAGCTGAACAACGCAACACCAGAAGGAAGAACACAGCTAGGTGAACAAAATGGTCGATGGGGAATCTGAAAGAATTCCATTAACAGTTTTACAATCGCAAGAGCTGAAAATGAATAGACTGATGAACGGAAAGAAATCGAAATATCTTATTGGATTGTAACTAACATAAAAGAATTGTGGCTGATGACTTCAAAGTGAATATGGTGTATTAGCTAAGACGTGAATATGGATAGCAAAAAAGAGTTCTAGTTTGCCCTTGGGTTTTTCCCAGCTGAGCAGAGCAAGTAGATTCCATATGACATACCTGAAGAAGGACCTGCAAAGGATCATTTGCCCTTCCCGCAGTCTTTTCCCGTTTCTTTACCTAAACTAGAGCAATTGAACGGCTTTGGGTTTGTTTGGTGGGTGAAATTTCTTGCCCAGATTAATTTTCCTCAAAATCATGGAAAACATAACTTTTAATTTTTAAATTCTCTTTTAATTATTGATCTTTTTAAATTTTATTCTGCACAGTTCAGTTTTTTATAATTTATTAAGTTAAGGTGTCATGAAAATTGAATTGCATCCAGTCAAAAAAAAAATTATACAAATTGAGTTATTTTAAGTTAAAATTGAAGAATTAAATTGGTAGCAGAATAATATTTAAAGACAAAAATTATATTTTTCTCTTAAAATTAAATCTCATGATAAGAAATTAAATAAAAAACTGCAAGATAATACCTGAAATAATAATACTAATGAATAATGAATAGTTTTGAGCAAATGAATATGACTAGTTGACAATATTTTAGATAGAGTTTTATCGCCACTCAGTCTACTTTGAGTTTTAATTTTAATTGATTGATGAGTTCACTGCTTGACGTTTATTTGCCTCCAGAAATTGAGTCGTTTTTTGGAACTTTTTCTTTTTCTCTTTGCTGATGCATGTTGGCAAAATTGGTCTCCTTGAGACATTGGAAAATTAGACCATTGAATTTGACGTTCAT